GGGCAGGAGAGAAATGAGTCCTTGGCCCGCGAAATAATGTATTTGTAATTTTAAATACAAACTCTTCTAAAAATACTTTCTATTACAATTAAGCAGCTGTGTTTTAATCTTCAGGTATGAATCACAGTGCAGATGTCATGCTTTAGATCTTCACTTGTGGCTTTGGGGTTTCATGGCCACTGAAGCCCTGCATGAGGCCACAGCAGATGCATCTCCGGAACGGAACTCCAGTGCACAGGGCCTGGAGGTTCCTCCTCACGTCGGCTGCCATTCTGCCGCTGCTTAGCTTTTAATGGTCGGAAAGCATCATGCTGAGATTAGCACTTTGCTCTGGGGGAGCTGGAACCTCGTGGGTTTTTTTTTTATTGCTTTATAAATTGAAGAGGATGCGTATCGGGCTGCTCTGTAGGTAGTTCTGCAGCCACCCCCGCTCTGTCTGAGTGTACGAGAACTTTTGCGTGTTCTCCCCAAGTGTGGATTTCCGGTAGGTTCTTCACTTTCTACCTCCAGTGCAGTGAAAACCTGTGGTAAAGCCAACCGCTGTCTCTAATTTGCCCATTATGTGTGCCCTGTGACAGATTGGCATCCCCCTGCCTAGGATGGGCTCTAGGTTCAACACAGCCCTGTCCTGGCTAACGGTAACAGGAAATGTATGTAGGTGATAATGGGGTTTGCAGTAGAACATGCACTACATAAAAGACCCTGCTTAAACTTTTGAGCATGTGGAGGAAAAAAAAATAACAGTGTCTCTAGCCTTTATGCTTTTCAAGATGCCTGGTATTATAACCATGCAGGGCACGGACCGGGGAAGCAGGCAAAGACAACGAAGGGCTCAGGGAATAAGGGTTTTAATCGACACATGGAGAGGCAAACGGGACAGAAGCGTCATAACAATACAATGACATGACTAGGGAAACATACTCTGACGCGGACTTAAATACATCGAGCCAATAGAAACAACTCGAAACAGCTGGTAAACACAGGGAATCCACACGAGGTTAACGAGGGGGGCGTGGCACACAGGAGGATCGGACGAGCAGAGTGTGACACCTGGTATGAAGAAGGCACAGACAGTTACCATTAGCTGTAAAAAGCTTCATTGCTTTAGAAATTTAGCTCATGGGAGTTTTACTTACACAAAAATATTCTGAGGGCAGAACAAAAAAATGATTGGTTCAGAGAGATAACCAGTCAGATTGTAGAGAAGCTGGGTCTAAAAAAGTAGAGGAGGTGAGACCAAGACATCTGGTTGCTTGGACCACCTCATCTGCAATCTGATTGGTTATCTCTCTGAACCAATCATTTTTCATTCTGCCCTCAGAACATTCCATGAACTAGCATTTTACTCATATAGGCTTCTAATCCAGGGAGCTCAGTTGCTCTTTAACTCCATTGCCACCAGGGGCTATAATACCGACGTCCCCCGACCACCCTCCGGATATGGGCTGCCTTTAGGAACAATGAGCCCTTCCTGGAGCAAGCAGAGTCGCCACCTGGGAAATGCATTGTTTGGCTTTGCCGTCTCCGTGCCGACAAGGATGAGATGAAAAATGTTCACCGCCGCAGCAGTTGGAAATCTTGGAAGCGGCGTGAGTGTGGGATGGACCACCCGGGATGTCATGATGGACACCAGGATGTTGTCTCTGAAATCAGACAGTGACATAATATATTTATTCATATATACATTATTCATGTATTATGTGTCCAGTAAAGTACCGTATCTGTACCAAGTATGGAGGTGTTTCCTATCAAGGTAAACTCTGAGCATGTTTATTCAATTGCTTCCTACACAAGTTATTAAACAGGCGAAACCAAGTCGTCAAGCTGATTTCAACACTGATTTTTTTGTGAAGAATGACTGACTTGCAATCTGTCTTCGCAATCAGTTGTATTTCTTTAGTTTGTCTTTTAACGTTTCAGGAGGTGGGATGGTGGCTTGGGCCGTAGCGATTTTGCCTCACACTTGCAGGGTTGGGTTTGTCAGTATTCTGTGTGTGTGTGTGTGTGTGTGTGTGTGTGTGTGCGTGTGTGTGTGGAGCTTGCATGTTCACTCTGCGGCATTTGGGTTTCCTCTCACATGCCAGAGAAATGGTAATTGGCTTCTCTGAATTGCCCGTAGCGTATGAATGTGCCCTCTGATGCATTGGCATCCCACCCAGAATATACCCAGCATATACCCAGCGTATACCCAGCGTATACCCAGCATATTCCCAGCATATACCCAGCGTATACCCAGCGTATACCCAGCATATACCCAGCGTATACCCAGCGTATTCCCAGCGTATACCCAGCGTATACCCAGCGTATTCCCAGCATATACCCAGCATATACCCAGCGTATACCCAGCGTATACCCAGCGTATACCCAGCGTATACCCAGCGTATACCCAGCATATACCCATGCCCTGTGCTGCCTGGGATGGGCTCCAGGCCCCCCTATGCTATGGGCGCAATTATCATCATCATTATTGTTGTTGTTGCTGCTGCTGCTGTATGTGAAATCTCTGTGGAGGGTCCTTCTTCTACCAACCTAGCTATTGGGCTTCAGCCTGTTGGCGATGCCTCTGAAGTCACTGCTTTCGGTGCGGGAAGCTGAAGCTGAAACCTCGGCGGGGGCTGCTCCGGCAGACGCCAGAAATAAGGCAAGGAGCTGAGGTCGGTAGTGTTTCCCCGTGGGTGCAATTCATCATGGCAGCTGTGGAAGGCTTAATGTAAGACAGGGATGTCAAACTCCGGTCCTGGGGGGCCGGAGCCCTGCACATTTTTGGGTTTCCCCTCGTTTAACACACCTGATTCAACTCCTTGTGCTAATTACCACACAGCTCTTGAGCTGAATCATTTGCGGTGAAACAGTGAAAGAACTAAGCTTCACAGGGCTGCGGCCCCCCAGGGCTGGAGTTTGACACCCATGATGTAAGACCAACATGAGGGTGCATGGTGTCGCCTCACAGGAAGGGGGCAGCAAAGCAACCCTAGCACATGCCCTAAGAAGCCTCTGTCTATATCAGGGGCTGCTGGGGGGGGGTTGGGATTATCCTTCCATGTCCTTTTAAGTTCACTCAAGGTGTCCTGTGGGCGAACTCATTGAATCAGGACAGGCTGCTAGTAGCTCGCAGTCGATGCGTTGGCAGCCATGTTTGGGATGCCTTCTACATGGGGGACCAGGGTTTGAGTCTTGCCACAGGCTCCCCCTGGTGGAGTAACTGCCTTAACTATCCATCGTACTTCAGATATTTTTCAGATGTTGTAACTTTCTGCCTTTTCTGGTCAGATTTTCAATTGTCATAAATCCTTTTTAAAAAAACACGATAAAAAACTATGTTTATTCTTTGCTTCGGAATTCAGATCAACCTTGGGAATTGCCATTTTCAAGACTTCTCTCCCAAGTCCTGTCCTTTACCCTAAGGTTTGACCTATTACAAGAAGGCACTGCCCTCTGATGCAGATAGGATGGATGTTGTAGAAGTAAGTCCTTTATCACTCTCCAGGTGCTAAAGTGTGATTTGGCTTGGGCCTGTGTGTCAGCTGGTATTGACGACATCTTCAGGAATTCCTCTGTTAGGGAGACCCGTTTAATTATTTATGTATTTTTTGAAGCCCGTGAGAGATTACTGTATTTTTTAAACTAATGGAATTCTCAGAAGTGCCTTTGGGGTGTGAAAAAGTGGGATGTCACCATTTATTTCAAGAGCTAAGTTTGTCCCAGGATCATGAGCCTGGTTTGTACAATCGCGATCAGACAGCCACAATCCCAATCAGGACACGAACAATCCTGATCAGGAGAGCCACGTGTTCCCTGAAATCTATTTCTAGAATTAGAATTTAGTGATTAATTGTCATTGTTGAGTCACCTCAGCACACGGTGCACAACAACGAAATGTGCATTTAACCCATATGTGACATCGTGACATAGCAGGGGGCAGCTAATTCAGCGCCCGGGGAGCAGTGCTTGGGGGCGGTACCTTGCTCAGGGTACCTCAGTGGTGCCTTGCTGGTCAGGGATTCGAACCTGCAACCTTTCGATGATGCAATGATCTTGTTTATATTTCAGAAGCTACTCCACTCTCAACCACAGCAACCAATTTTACGCAAAAAAAAAACAAAAAAACAATGGAGTTTGCCACTTCTACTGTGGCAAGTACAGGATATTAACAAAATGAATTACAGCCCTGGGGGCTATTTCAGTTGTCAAAGGCCCCCCTGCCACAGTTAAAGTTGTGGCCCCGGGGGAGGAGCCTGGAGGGGGTTGTTTTGAGGCCCCTTCTTTACATTAACGACCCCCAATCGAATAATCTTTTCCCATCATTCTTTGAAACGTTCTTACTTGTCAATGAGAAGCTGTGCACTTCAGGTAGCACTTTACAAGTGAGTATGACACCGGCTCCTTGTTCTAGTCATACTGTATATACTATGTAATTTGGTCTCACCCAGTCTGGATTGCATTACCACCACGAAGTGTATTGACAGAGCTAAAGGGTACTTTATAGTTAGTATTTGTAACCCAAACCCATAGATCAGCTCAAACATAATAAATGAACTTAAAAACTCAACAGCCTTCAGCTGTGGTATCTGATAGGCTGGGTCTGCTAGGTTTCGATATCCCCAGAAATCACAGGGATCCTTTATGCATCTGAAATCAGAGTTCGCAGCCTAAATTACCTCATAGTCGCATGCAACACTTCCGAATGCCGTTTTGAAAGTGTATTTAGAATGCGCGGTATATGAACTGCGCCCACATGCATTATTTCACGCACACGATTCCTTTTCATACAAATACCTAAGAGTGAAAGAACAGAGTTAGGAACACTCCTCAGCAACATGAATTGAATCTTTTCCTCGTATTTAGATAGTCGCAACAGAACCGGAAGAAAGGTGTGCGGATGACAGCGAAGTGCCGCAGGCGGTATCGCAAGAGCCGGGTAGGAGGGTGGAGCGACAGGCGGCGTTTCACGGGCAGAGGCGGCGCCCTGGTGCATTGAAAGAGCTGCACGTTGGCAGCGCAGCTTCTCCCCATCGCCGTGCGGAGACTGCGTGCGGGGGCCGCTGTGGGTGCAGCCAGCGATCGGCGCTTTTATAAAAGCTGCGGTGCTTCGCGAGGCAGGAGCGCGTCAGTATTTCTGCAGCCGCCCATCCCGCGTCTGGTTTTTTTTTCTTTTTTTTTTTTTTTTTTTTTTTTACGGATTGTCTCCCCACCACATCTTCCCCTTCTCCCCCCCCCTCTCGGATAACTCTTCTCTGATAAGGAAAGTCTGGTGTATGGTTTTGGCTGAAGCTCGCAAGATGTCTCGTACCGACGAGGTCCACCGTATAACGGAGAATGTCTACAAGGTAAAGTCCCTCCCAGCAGTGGCGGCTGCCAGCCCGATTAATGATTTTCGCTATGTTTTCGAAATATATAGCGCTTTTTCGGGGTTCTTCGGATGCTTATATCTGCTCCAATACAAGCGGTTACTATGACTGACCTTTGTCATTACAACAGGTAACCTGTGAACTCCCTCTCCAAATGTAGCAAAGCGAAACAATTTAATGTATCTTATTTTTCCCCAGTCGGAGTGATTGAAATAAGAGACACAGTGTGTTGGTTTTTTTTTTATTGTTATTTATTTATCTATTTTTGCCGCTGGCGTGAAGAAATGCTCTCGGTGATTCCCAAACTCTGCACTTACCCGCAATGGAATGTTATTTAAAAGGGAAATCAGCTCCACGTACTCCAGCGATCTGGCCATCGCCGTCTGGAGCTTTTTAGGTATTAATTAGGGATGATATCAGTAGGAAATAATTAATTGCATGTTGTTAAAATTCGTTATACCCGATGGAGCGCCCGGACTTTGAAGTGCGATCGGAAACCTGTGGAGTCGTGACACTATGTGCAACAGTGCGCAATCTGCCGGTCATCTCTGCGCCTGAATGACTGCGGAGAGCCGTGTGAACAATGATCAGTCTGATCGGCTGGATTCACCAGCACGCTCTTTGGGGCTGTAGTACGATTCTCATTATACATGAGATCTTCAGACAGACGTGTGGTTTCCAAATAATCGGGAAATTCTGTGTCGCGACAGGCATAGCAAACAAGCCTTCAGGCTTCCTAGTGTTAAAAACCAGTTTTGCGAAATATGTAAAGCTATAAAATACTTTACTTTCAGGGTTCAAGTTTACGGTTCGTTGGGTTTTCTAAGTAATTCGGAAGGTCGTGAGCTGGGATTTTTTTTCATTCTGTTCTTTAAAGGTAAAAGTGTGATATAACTGATTTAAGTTAGGCTATAGTGAAAATGCTCTTGTTCTCCCCACCTAAGTGAATATGTCAGTTGGCAAATGAACCAGAAATACTAGCTGCATACTGTGCCTTTAGCCAGAGAACTTGGCACCTGATACTTAAAATAAGACTGTGCGGTTCTAGTTCCCGCAGACACGCACACGCACATGCACAGCCCCGTAGACGGAAGTCCGCAGTGTCTCTGACAGGTAGATAATGCGATGCATGGTGGTGTTTGTGGGGAGAGAAAGAGAGAGAATCTGCTAAAGAAAGCGTTGTGAAGAAACGATGGACGGGTGTGAGTGATGGAATCTGTCGGTCCCTTACGCTCCCTCCCCTGCCTTATGCCGGCCGCCCCCGCGCGCCCACACAGGCGCGGGCACGCGCAGCCTGACATCAGGATATGGGTCGTAACTCCAGGAGCTGTGAAGCGGCTCCCTCTACTGTATACCTTCTTAAGAGATAGTACTCAGATCCCTGCGCCCCCCCCCCCCTCCTAGCCCCAACCCAGCAGGTGCTGACATTAATAGGGCATTTTGTCTCCGTCTGTGCAGCATATGTGGATAGAATAACGCATCAGCACAATAATTGCTTTGGGCGCCATTTTGTTGTAGAAGCTTAACTGTTTTTGTTGTGCTTTTAACGAGAGAGAGAGAATAAAGCTTAAGGAACAGTGAGAGCAGGGTAATTATGACACTGTGAACTGTGCGGCTCACCCCCCACCCCCCCCAGAGCTTGGAGGGTTGATCACCGGGACCACCTGTTCAGTCCAACATGCTCGGCTCTGTGCTGTGAAATGTGCAAACCCATCACGACAGGAGAGAAGCCTGGTGTGAGGGAGAGAACCCCCCCCCCCCACCTTTGGCTATTCTTATTTCTCTCCAAACCAGCTGGTAGAGAGGTGGAGGAGGCGGAAGTGCAGAGAGAGTCAGATCTTTGGTGTGGCTTGGAGCTTCTGCTCATCCTCCATTCCTCGTGCAGTCTCCCTCCCTGCCAGCAGGGGGCATAGTAGTTTCCAACCTGTAGCTCACTTGTTCCAATCGGAGGAGGGATTCTCTGGTGTCCCTCGTTGCAGGGTGCTTAGCACAAATTGCTCCTATGAAGTGTCTGGCTATATAAATAGGCTGGTGATGGGTATGAATGTTAGTCACTCTGAATAACGCAGCGCCCATTGAGCTAAAAGTAAATGTAGGCCAAGGTGAGCAATATAGGCTCTTGGCAGGGGCCACGTCTGTTTGACACCCAACTTATCAAAAGTGCCACCTTGAGAAGTTGATTGTGGGGCAGGCGGTGTCGGGATTTTTATTCCCCTTGAATGGGGGGGGGGGTTCAGGAGTTGCCCATGTCGTCTGCTGATATGACTGGGAGTCCTTGTGCTAGCGCTGTGGTTTTGTTAGCCAAGGGCAGTGGGCCGGGTTAGGTTTATTGATGCAGAGGAAAGGAAAAGAAAAACATGGACCTGGGACCAAAGTTAAACATGTTTCAGTGGTCTGGAATCATCGTGACCTGCTGTGGCAAGATTGGTGGGGAGGGGCATAAGAGGGGCCGTAAATTTGTACAGAGGGGCCAACCTTACCATTAGCCAATGATACGCTTTGATTCGATGAGTGACGGGGAAGTGGATACTATGGCAACCAATCAGCTTTCAGCTGGTGCCTGTGGCCCCGCCCCTATATTCACTCATGGACTGTAGCTGTCAACTCTATCAGTGACAAGAATGATATGGCTGGTACACTAGGCTGCACAGAAACATATCATCCAGTGTCAGACTGTTCTGGGTCAGTCTGCTGCTCCGATACGAAGCACAGCTGATGTTCCCACAGGCCTCTGCCCAAGGAGAGTCTGAAATCTGCCCTCCAACCTGCATCCACAGGTACAGCTGATTAATGGAGCGCCACTTGAACCTGAAGCTCTGTGACTGGTTGCCGCTTGTGTCGCAGAAACCTGCGGTGGTCTGGAATCATTCACGGGAGCATGGGGGTGTTTAATTATGTGCCTGGGGGGGGTGGGGGGTCACAGGTTTTGTTGGCATGTCTTTGCACAGATGGGCCTCCCCTAGAATTCCAGGTGTAAAGAAGGTGCTAATTAAAAGCATATCTAAAAGCTACAGGGTGCAATCCCTGGGGGACTAGAAGCGTAGATCCCCATCTGGAGGGATGTGTGTGCGGAGAGGGATGTGTGTGCGGAGAGGGATGTGTGTGCGGAGAGGGATGTGTGTGCGGAGAGGGATGTGTGTGCGGAGAGGGATGTGGTGAGGCTTATGAATAGGATGGGAAGGTCTACCTGGGGCCTCGGCCAACTAGAGGTGGGAGTCTCCGAAAGGAGGCGTGGTGTCTGCCCCCCTCCCCCGCAAGGTTAAGAAGGGGCAGGAGTAGATGATACCTTTCAGGCGGGTGTTTCAGGGTCTCAGACGTGAGTCACAGGCAGAGCTGGGTGACTCTACAGCCAGACTTGCATGGTTGAGGTATTTGTTAAGCTGAGGGATTATCTTAAACCCTCTGCTAGTTGGTTGAACCCTAACCCTACCTCCCACTACTGAGTCGCCCTCTGGTGAGGATTACAGGCCTGGGAGGGCCTGGCCCTCAAAGGCTTCTCTGAGCTGTTTTTCCCCTTGGCTCTGCTGATTGGCATAGTCGTCAAAGTTGATATTTCCGTGCAGTGATCCTTCCTTGGTGTGGCAGCTGCCAGTCATTCCTTGATTGATATTCCCAGCTAGACCTCCAGCCCTTCAGATCTGCCCCGGACAGAATAAAGCGCAGGAGCAATACCGTAGATCTGTAGAGTCCACAGTTGGTGATCTGTGAATTTAGACAGTGGCTTCGCAAACGTTCGTGGCCCAGCAAGGCCCGATGGATGGTTTGACACACTGGCAGGCAGTGTGGTGTGGCTCAGTGGTACAGAGAGGTTTGTACGTGTACAGCTTTAGTTGCCTTTGAGGAGACCTTATTTATTTATTTATTTTACGAGGACTTGTTCATTATCAAATCATCTTTCTTCTCCTGCCTCTGGGTTAGTTGGAATTGCAAATGTGCACAAAGGTAGAAGTGTGTGTGTGTGTGTGTGTGTGTGTGTGTGTGTGTGTGTGTGTGTGTGTGTGTGTGTTCTGTCTTAACATTGTCCCAGTAATGCCCTTTACTCCCTTGTTCACAAAACCCTATTTTAAATTCCACGTCACCGTTTTCACCTTCATACTGGA